CCTCCGACGGGAGGAATTTGCACARCAAAACTYGAYSCAGTGGAGTAGGCTGCCTGTCATTTTATTCTATTCGAAAAATCGAAGCTAAAACTCAAAGAGAAATTGAAAATCTTTATAAAATAGCTTTTAAATGTCAATCAAATATTTATCGTTATATAAATAGAATTTTATCTTAAAAATGAAACAACAAATAATTTCTTCTTTAATACCACGAGACTCCCCTCCCTGAAAAAATAATTGTTCTGTGTTCGCGGGTTCTCCATTGCATGCGAAGCAATGGCCGACTTCACGAAGACTTCACAAGGTCGTTGAAGCGACGTTCAAGTCCAAAGTATCTTAGGAGGAACCATTGCAAATTCTTTTTCTTAGCTCTTGTTTCACTCTAAGCTTTGAGGTATCTACAACATCACTGGAAGAGCTAGAGCAGCTTAGKTCCACGTATTCCARTAGAGTTAAAGCGTTTGTTATTTTTGGTACAAACAACTGTCGTAGTTCATCCTTTGTCGCATTTTCGGCAATAACCCGCAAGCATGCTCGACCATTTGACGTTATATAACAGGTCAGTTCCACCATATTTACTAGCTTTGAACTTACTTCTAGAGCTAGAACGGGTTTTTCGTGTAATGTCTTGATAGCGACTTTTTATAATATGTCGAGACGACTCAAAACAAAATTCCATCGTGAAAAAAGTTCGATTTAATTCCCTTCTGAAAAACACGTGTGAATTTAAGGTGGAAAATGTTTCATATGAGCATTCAATTCTAAAAGGTTTAATTCTATAATCATTTTGTTTAGTTATGTAAATAAATTTAACACGACTTGTACTGTTTGTCTGAGTGAAAGGCGAGCTGCGGGTTTTCCCTTTTCTTTATCTACACTTTCAAATATGACCGCTTAACAAAAATGCACGGGCTCACTGGCTTACAACCTTGGCGAATTCATATGCAGGCCTGGTCGCAAATCAATCACCCAGATCAGAACTCGCTTACTGTAAAAGAACAATAAATTACCGGAGTCAGAGATGAGGAAAATCCGAACATAATAAAACTTTGAAAAATGAARAAAAATGTCAGTCATGCTCAGAAACTGGAGAAGCCAATTMCRGGAGAAAGACCCTKAGTAATAAATTCGTGGGTTCGAATCCCAGCAAGTTMGGAAATTAAATTTTCCGAATTTATTCCTAAGGGTCTTTCTCCCGGAACTGCCTCTTTCTAAGCACTATAACWTTCTTTCATTTCTATATCGTATCTATCATAGTGCCATGCGGTCCTCATATTCATATCTTTACATTATTCTATTATCATATTCTATTATTATTGTTATTCATATCAGAAACTGGAAGTTGGCGGATTGCACACCCGCCAACCATTCGATTATATCGTTCTTTTTTTTCTTTTTCATTTTTCACTGTCCGCCGGTGTTATATTATACTTCGTATGTTTTCATACTTTTTTTTAATGCGAACTCAGCCTGAATTTCTTTTTCACAATAATATTTTCAATTTTTTTAGACAGTTTTACAGACGATTGATATTATCATTTTTAAAACAATGGTTTCCTATTTTCCCCCTAAATATATAAAGGGTATATTTTCAAAAACATCTGAACCTATGAATATGTTTTCAATATATAATTTTGGAAGACTAATATTAGCATCCTTCAACCAATTTTGCGCTTCGTAGTAAAATTGTTTTGTTATCTTACACTCAACAAAAAAAATGTGTTTATGTAATCGAATGAAACATTCTGTTCTGAGCACAATGTACATTTAGGTGATTCTATTAGACTTCTATTAGAAGTACTAACAATTATTCGCAATTTTATATTGAAACGCCCGTAATTTTACATCACTAGTACATACATAGATTTCCGAGTAAACGAGCGGCCATTCAATACTAGTTTTCCTTATTCTATTCTCTATATTTTTCTGTGAAGTTTGTTTAACTATGAAATTAAGATCAAAATGGAAACGTACAAAAAACTGATAATCATTTAATGGATGACATTGAATGTGGGATGTATAAATGAATTAATAGTTARGATCACTTTACCTAGCATATATGAAGTTATTATTGCTCTCTATTGATCTCTGTGGCACCTTGCAATGCACGATATGGCACACAAAACAATTCTCATTAATTAATTTACGAAGAGTACAAACACTAAAACTGTGCAACATAAATACCACTAAATACTGCTAAATTATGCTAATTCTATTGTTTTCTATTGTTTCATTAACACTATTTTGTAGTAAATAGTGGAAAGTGTTGCACACATTTAATGTTTGTACTCTAGCATATGAAGTTATTATTGGTCTCGTTAAGTGCGATCTCTTTGACACCTGTTTGCCGGCAATGCACGATATGGCGCACAAACAAATTCTCATTTATTAATTTACGAAGGTGTTTTGGCGACTCACTATTGGACCAAAGTGTGCCCAGCTGTAAATAAGCTGGTCATTGAATGTGATACAGTAAGTAAGCTCCCTGAGACGACATTTTCATTTTGGTTCAAGTTTGGACTCGTCAACATTTTCAGGTATTAGCTATTCATACCAAAAGTCATCGTTTCAGAAAACAGCCTGTTCCAAAGCATATTTTTTCTGAAAGCATCGATAGCAATGGCCCTTTCCCAAGATGTTGGTTTTGCAGAACCAAACCAAGGCTTTTGCTAGGTTGTAATACTTTTYCACGTATGTTCACAAACTTTAACGTTATTTCTTGCACATCAATTTTCTACATCTACTGTGAACAAGAGAAAATGTTGTAACGTACCCAAAGCCTCGCTTTGGTTCTGCAGAACCAACATCTTGAGAAAGGGCCATTGATAGAAACGTGAATCCCAGGTTTTAAAAGTTATTTAAAAACACTCTTAGTTCGCCCTTCGGCGTCGTGTTTATATCTAACGTAAAAAGCACTCCTACTCGTTCTTTTCCACATAAGTTATAAGTTGATGTCTTGAAAATTAACGTATTGATTTTAGTAACCTTCGCTTCAAAACCATGTGGGCACTGACTCCGTTGTTTATTGTTATGGCTATTGGCATAGTAACAGTTTATATCTCACGATAAAAGCACTCCTACTTGTTTTTTTAAATATCACTTACATAAAGTTGATGTCTTGAATATATTTTTCTGTTCATTTCAGTAATCTTCGCTTCGAAACCATGTGGACAACTCCGCTGTTTATTGTTATGGCTATTGCCATAGTAACAGGGAATGCCATCACCATGGTGATATTCATAACTTCCCGTCGTCTACGCATGCGTAGATATGCTTTAATAGCCAACCTGGCCGTAGCGGATTTCTTTGTTGGTCTGATATCAGTCCCTATGTACACATATTGGTTTCTAAAGACAGGCAATGGCGTTTCAATGACGACATTTCTAAGTATATTTCGAATACAAGATGCCTTATTTGGAACAGCATCGTTATTTGCTTTGGCAGCTATGGCAGTTGAAAGGGCATACGCTACATATTTCCCTTTCAAATATCCTGCATTGAATAGAATGAAGTACACTATGGCCATAGCTTCAGGATGGCTTTTTGCTTTACTTTTAGCATTGCTGACATTTGACTTAACTCTTGGCCTAGAAGTCACAATATCTCTTATCGTAACGTGGATTTCAGCACCTCTTGTCACAGTTATAATTGCCTATGTCCTTATATGGGTAAAGATCATATGCAAAAATACAGCAACAMATCAAGCCATCTATAACTCCAACAAGAAACTGATCTCGCTTTCAATCATCAGTCTCATCACTTTGGTTGCTTGGATACCATTCATCGTCTATCAAATAGAAGTGTTTTTCTGCKTTGAGTCAGTATATAAATGCRATCCAATCCTAGTTTCCAGAGAATACATCATAGCTGCCAAATGGCTTCAATATGGTAACTCGGTTGTAAATGTCATCATTTATTCATTACGCATGCGTGAATTTAAAAAAGAAGTGTTGCGCAGACTCAGATGCTGCCCAAGCCTTCCATTCCATCAAGAAAACGAAAGATTTGAATTGCAAAACGTCATTCATAACGTCGATCGTCCTGACAATGACAACATGAACGACAATTTAAGGTGACAAGTAATGAACGACACGATCTTAACGACACAAGCGATTAAAATACATGATGGTCGGTTGCAATTCGATTAAACTGCATCATGTTGCATGGTCCGTCGATGACAGAGCGACATTAATAGAATAGATTCTAATTTATGCCTTGAAACATGAAAATAAGAAAAATTAAAGAGTTTTTTTTATAATTAGCTATTTGGCATAAAATATACCAATCATTTGACTCTGGAAGATGTGAAGATTTTAGCGGTTGGACAAAAGAGGTTGGACAAAACACTTTACTCCGACGAAGGACTAACGTCCGAAAGGTTAATCAATCTCTTACCCAGATCCTGCACTTTTGCCATCCAGCGGATGTTAATGCGTGAGAGACTCTGGAGGAAACAATTTTTTCTCGATTCGTGATTGGTTGAAAATGACGCGAGCGCGCATTGTTTTCAAATCGGTTTTTCAAGTCGCCAGCGCGCGCTCGCCTGTTTGATCAAAAATATCATACTTTTATCGCATAACCACACATGTTTTCACACATTTKTGTTTTTAAAAAGGTGTAAATACCTTTTCTTAACTACGTTATGTGCTAAACCTCCTTCTTTTTTATCAATTTGATGCTCTAAAGCGGCAAGAACAAAACTGACCTAATTTGCATAATTTGCGACGGAAAAGCGTCGCAAATCCAGTCGATTCCTCCAGAGTCTTTCCGGCGTCAGCATACCGCTGACATTAGCCGTGAAGACTCTGGGCTCGAGATTGAAGGTTAATAAGTTATTTCGCCTACTCTTTACGGAGTAGAATTTATCTTGTGATTGTGAACAAATGGATAGGTGAATGAGATTGACCCACAGGGATCGAATGGTGTGATGCGGTATGGAGGAATCGCGGCGTTGAACGATTGAATGATAAGTATCTATACTATCAACTGCATCAACTCACCAGCATTTCGATTTGCGCATGCTCCAACAAAGAGATCTTTACCGCTGACATTAGGATCACCTCGTGCGTACATATGCACCAAATCCATCTCGGTGATTGGTAGATTGCCTGTCCAATGAATAGCTACAGATGCATTATACAAACACCCGATAAACTTGTCTTTCCTGGTTCCTCCAATGAATATTCCGTCTGGTTTGCTTATCGAGGCTTTCTGAATAAACCTTTTACCGACGTGAGAWATCATTTTGCCTTCGTTCACTTGGTAGGTCACTTTACGTCCTTGTTTACGCAAGCTTACGTAGTGAATACGTCCATCACAGAATGATCTCGTTGCATTTAACGTAACAGTGAACTTTCCATCGAGTATTTGATAGTCAAATACAAGYTTCTTAGAAGATTTAAGAGTTAGTTTGTAGTAATGGTGTTGTACGTCTCTGCTAGGGATAGTAAGAATGTTTCCCGTACATTTTGGTGTTGAAAATGCCAAGTTGATGTCTGTTTGTATCAATGTCTCTGTCTTGGGGAAWACGTATTTTAAGGCGCTGTATCTGCTACGGAATGAGATGGGACCTAAATGATGCATATCAAGTATTACTAAAATATAACAATATTCAGTTTTGCACGCGTTGTTGTTGTTGTAGTTGTTACTGTTGTTGTTATTGTTGTTGCTGCTGTTGTTGCTGCTGTTGTTGTTGCTCTTGTTGTTGTTGTTGCTGTTGTTGTTGCTGTTGTTGCTTTTGTTGTGGTTGTTGCTGCTGTTGTTGTTGCTGTTATTGCTTTTGTTGTTGTTGCTGTTGTGGTTGTTGCTTTTATTGCTGCTGTTGTTGTTGCTGTTGCTGTTGTTGTTGTTGTCTTAGTAGTTTTTGTTGTTTCTACTTTTAAAGATGTTTTGTGTTTTTATTCTTTAGTATTCAAACTGTTTTTGATGTCATGATTTTTCTTGTTTTTCTTTTTTTGTTGTTGTTGTTGTCTTACATATATATTAGCAAATGTCTACGTCCACAAGAGAAGTTTTTTTTCATTTTCCAGAAAGAGTTTCGAAAAGCCTCGTTTCCGGTGATCAAATCATCCTCGGGACGAAGATCAGTTTGTTGTTAAGTTATTGATAACGTGGTTTAGTAGTTACCTTGGGCAAGACGACCATCAATTCCATCAACTACACCTAGAAATAAGACATTAATGAGGTTGTTACACTTTGAACATAAAACGAATGCTGAAAAATGGATCGCTATAGCATGTAAAAATATTTGAGACTTTTACTTGAAATATTTCAAAAGAAACCAATAAAGAAGAAAAGGCGAATAAAGAAAAACGTACTGCAACGAAAACACGCATGATAATATTTTGCATWTTTGTCTACTTTTCCCTTTTTATTTTCTTTTTTCACACTGCATTCAATATCATTCGTACTGTAATTGCTAGTCTGAGGACATACTTAGAGGTAAAAAAATATTTTTGTTTCACTAAGGATCCTTATATTTCACTTCTGTGCCTTGAACATTACTTTAAGCTGTTTTTTATAAACTTTTAAGGAATATTTTCAGGATTTTCCTGKCCTCCTRCGGTTAGTTGATTTAACAACGCAGCCAGCAATCACTGATTCTTTGTTTGTCGCTATTTTGAATCTTATTTGGATTATTCAGATAGTAATAGCATTTGACCGGAATTCTCCTTCTCCTTCTTCCTGAAATACGCATACAATAACACTTGAACAAGTTTTTCTTAAAAAATGTTAGKGTACAATATCTCTCCGACATATATTGACGTCTAATACATTGAAAAGAAGYTGCATTAGCCAAAATAGAAACATTTCCTTATCTTATGAATAAATAGAAAAAATCACTGTCTGCAGCTAAAACGAAAAAAATACTAGATGCAAGTTTAACTCTCAACCTGCACAAAACCCAATCCACGTGCTTCACTTTGACTCCTTTATCGTCAAATAAAACTATTAAAGCTTGTRGTCCACTTTTTTTGATAGGTTTTAGCTATTTAGATGGCATCGTCCTGGTTTCACCTGCTCTAAGTCCAACTGAGAGTGTATAGTAATAATTAAATGTGMAAAGCATACCACTAAAAGCATAGTTAATGMTAAAAGGCAGTCCTTTAATGTGCAAACACTTCACTCGAACCGTATATTTTGCGSTTATCACATTCATTTGACCTAAAGAACAGATGGCCCTTTACAACTCAAKGACCAATATCGTAAAATTCAAGTAACGGTTTCTGATTTATTTGTGCTTTTGCGATTTCGTTYTATTCAGTATTATTCAGTTTAATCAATTGGCAATGGTCTTGAATTCTAATATTCATTGTAAGCATATTTTCACCAATACTGTAGTCATTCATCACAACTAAAACAACGCCTTTTGCTTTGAAATTTCAATTAAAATCACTTCTTTGTTTTTGTTCCCCATTTTTGCCCTTTTGTGCAAACATTCGAAGATAAGAGCATCCATATGTAAGCCAAAAAATACGGCAAATTAGTTTGTGCCAAAAAGGTGAAAATCACTTGATATTCAGACTCGTTGTTGTTAAAGCTTATGCCTCTTTAAATTCAATATCAATGCGCATATATTTTTCCKTTTTCTGAGCTTTTTCTGATCAATTTTTCACGGCTGACAAAAAATSTGAGACGYGAAAAACAACTTACCGATTAACAAGAACAGCTGACCGATAAACCAAAGAGAAAAAGTTGCCATGTTTACTGGTTCTTTGCTCGCTCATCCACAGCAAAACATCACTGAGATTCTTAGACTTGCCAGSTCTTATACCATTGATATAAGTCAAGTCCTTGTGATACTAACGAAAGGCAAAAAYTCACTGGCATATAGCCTTTTCATTCTTAATAAGGTGTCTGCTTGAGCCCTTGTAATTACGCCTCAGCGGAGATGCTTATGAAATATTAATGTAGSCTAAGTGGAGCCTGCAAGGTGCAAGGGAATGCCTAGATGACTCTTAAAATAAGATAAACTTGTCTAATAACAAAGCTCTTCAATTTAGCATACGTGTAAATTATTGACGATGTTTAARTCGTCGATAAAAATGAGCCGTTTTAYTCTCTAGACTCGTCGAATGATTTTGAAATTTAGTTCCAGTTTCAGAGTTTCCTTTTAATACAAAGATTTCTAGSTCTGCCGTTTGACGATTTTAAATCGGCATTAAAATCAAAATTAAAATGAAAKTGCGGCTCYCTTTCTTTMCTTAATGCAAGAACAAGTTTTTCAATTTGGTTATATTTTAAAATGGGAAAGTTTTGACTAGTGAATTATCAAAAGCCAAAAAACACTTCTTCACTGAGTAAAAGGCAGTGATTAGTTTTCGTACCTMACTTAATCGCGCTATGCATTAAGGGAATGAATTGTCCAGAAGTCTTYGCGCACATTAATTAAATAATATTCCCATAGTCCATTGCAAAATGTGAGATGTCCATCATTCAATAATCAGATCATAAATCTCGAATCTGACAGGTCATTTTGGAGGAAAATTCAAATATTTATTCGAATGAGGTCGAAAAAAATTTCGGAAAATAAACAGAGAGCCACGATTGCAAGCCGAAACCTTTTCTCCTCCTCACTTKCTCAARGCGATCAGAGAGGCACCSACAAAAATGGCMGCCGTCTTCAACACCCCGGCGGCGGAGACTAGTATACAGAGGGAAACCATAGTGCGACCTGGTGATCACTGTGACTTGTGTACATACCTAAACGTTWGCTTTATTTGCGTAATTAACCCGCCATCTTGAATTCCAAGACCAGTTCTGCTACTAACATGTACTAAAGAAAGATAAAGTTTTTTAACGGTTTTTATATCCATCACATTTATTTCTTTATTTCGTTTTTGAATAAATAAGTTTTGAATTGAGAGAGGCCTGAGTTTGAAAATTAAATTTTGATTTTGGCTTGTGCGATAGACTCGTTTAAGATAATACCAAGAAACTGACAAGGCGCGCAAATACATTGAATAGGGGCCTCAATACATAGACAGAGTCACAAGCATTAAATAACTTACTATCTAACTTACGAAAAGATAACAAAAGGGCGGAGAATTAAAACGAAACTGAGATTTGAACAGCATATCAACCTCGATATGATTTAATGCGGCAAATCATTGACGTAAAATCCATCAAATTATGTCATTCCACAGTATTGCATTCCATGGACTTTCGCGGAAACTCTAATCCGGATCAWGAGGCCATCTTGCTATCTTGCAAAGCCCAACACTCAAAGACCCAGGTCAAGAAATAAACCAAAAAACTAAATACACAACTAAGATAGTTCGCTTGGGATTACTTCGGTAGATTTGACAATAAGTCAACCTTTCAAACTGTCTTTATTTCTATAGTTGTGACGCTTRTGATGCATTCCGTGGAATTGCTAATTAAGTCTATTATCTTTTGCGTTCTTTCCGATATGCTGAAGTGGAAAGAAGATTAGGATGTCTGAATCAAAGGCTTAGGTTTTTACCCTGTTAAGATTTAATACATAGCAACACTGACTGTCCGTCAAAAGTTAGGAAGATTAATCAGAAAAGCTAGATAAAATGTTCACCGGTCATGAGGATAAAACCTTGGATAGGTTAACGATCTGYTTTTCTGTAGTTCTGTTGACAACAGACGAAAGAAGAACCGATTCACTACGTACAAASAACGGTACTTGAAACTCGTGGAGAAATCAGTAGATTTTCGTTCTTAGAAGAAAGGTTTCAATTCATGGCCACCATGAAGCTCAAAGAAAGTCTTCTTAAAAAAATCCATGTTTTTGGTGAGTATATTCATTTGATGAGAGCAGTGTACGTCGAGTTAAGCGCACGTTTAACGCAAATATAGCAGTTGATAGCGTGTTCCTAAGTAGTGTGCGATAAACATAGCTTGAAAACATCGAGCCTAAAAAATGATCTATTTTCATCTCTAAAGCTCCCGGGTTATAGCTAGYGACTCCAAAATTKGCAAGTTAATACAACTTTGTTTTCAATCTATACTCAGATTGGTAATAAATAACGCCTGTAACCCCGTTTACCGTATTGAAAACACAAAACTCTGCCTAGAAAAACAAAACGTTTTGAATGCTAATTTTAGCATAAAAATGAATGTTTAAAGCGAAAGAAGTGACCTCAAAGAACCCTTTTAGAGAACAGGAAGTCATCAAGGACCGCGGACTGGTTTTATTTGAAAATAATTCAGAAGGACATCATAGTATGAAGACCTTTAGGGCAGGAATACTTATGTTTTTACCAAAAAAGAAAAACATCAGCCGGCTGGGAAGTAGCGGCAGTGATTTCAATTGATATTCTCCGCCCAAGTAAAGCATATTTAGTACATTTACTGATAACAATACGAGAAGCAATAGATGACTGCATTAGAGGCTTGTAATTCACATCCAATTTGATTTATAATAAAGATTGAATAACTGGCTCTCAATTAAACCACTCTCGACCCTATCAGGTTTCGCTTTTTTGGACGAAATTCATCGTTCAATGAAAAAAACGTCCAAGTATTGGCAGTGAAATTGAGCAAAAGCCTCGTAAAATGACAAAGGAGTACAATTACTTAGACTTCATACGAATTTGTTTTTGAAGATTCCATGTAAGAATACGGATATATATGGGCAAGAAATCACAGTATAAATAGGTTTATCAGTGACGTGACTTATGATTGACATGTCCATCAGGCAGGCCAGCATTAATTACGTGTATACAGTGATATGAAATGATAAAACATTCAAATCCCTTAGATTGCCATATTAATGCAGGGTTTATGGGGTAATCCCAGCATAGATAGGGCACTATTTCGTATAATAAGCTTAACTTGGCGGAAATCCAGCTCACACCAAATGAACAAATATGGCGTTGGAGTCGAGCTGTAGTAAAAACTTACCGACTGGGTATCGGATGAACATACTACATTCTCCTGGGTAGGGGGTTGGGGCTGGGGAGTGGTGGTGGTGGGGCTGTCTGGGGACGGAGTCCGGGAGGCAAGGTTCAGTGGGCATGTTAAAGTTTAATAGAACCCATTAAAGTTACCAAAAGATTCCCGAAAAAAGGGCGTGTGTTTTGGAAAGATAACAAAAAGAACATTAATATCGTGACCTAACGCGCTATAGATATCATAGGAACAATGATTTCCATTTTGGGTCCAAAACACAAAATAAGCAGAAAATCTCATTAAAAATACATTAACTGTTTTTTAATGGATAAAATCCACACTGAACTACAAATGGTACAAAAATAACAGCTTAACTCGCAAAGTGAGTTTTGGGGGAAAAAGATTAAGTATTTGCTAGTTTCAAGTCGAAGCGACAATATGGATTTAAGTGGACATATCACTTGTGGCTATGAGAAGGCAGTCCAATGTGGTTCATGTTCTTTTCATTTGAATTGATTTTCTAGATAATTCCGTGCATGGGTCAAAATCATTATATATGACATGTTCTTTGTGTAAGGGGCACTTAGTCTTTAGTGCTTGTCAAGATCTTATACCACCACAATCGAGCTGTTTCCTCGACACGAAGACAATGTCTTATATTTCGAGATTCGTTTGGTTCAGACGTGCAGTTGCAATGTATTTCTTCGTAATAACTAAACTAATGAACTCTGCATTATGATTGGTTCTGATACAACGCATGCGTGTTTGACTGCACACTGCTCTATTTCTAAAATATGAGAGAATGCACGCCCGAAAGTTACTATGGGTAGTGTTTATCGATGGTACTACCACCACCACAACAACAAAATCGCGCGCTTTAAAGGTTGTAAATTTGATCTCAATATGATGTAAGTGTCCAAAATGATGTAAATTTGATGTAAAACCTCATGTTCAGTTTTTTTCATCTCACATTTTAATACTTTATTGAATTTTTCTTACAATTTATGCTTAGATGATTCCATTTTGAAACGAATTCTAGAGCTTATTCTTGTTTGAACAAATAAGATAATGGCGGTAGTATTTCCACTTGAAAGAACCCAGTAAACTTTAGTAATTGAATACAGTGAATTGAATACAATTTAACATATGAAAGGGAAAACTGTTCGGTATGTTGTATATGAATGACTTCAGCTATCTTTAAATAAAAGTACGTTTTAGTGAACCATTAAATCAAGCTAGCATATAAATCTATCGTCTATATTTCTCGACGTTAGAATGACAGTTTTCTAGACAACCTACGCTTTAAAAGTGTGATTACCTGATTAAGACTCGATATCTGCGTCTTAATTCAAACCCCGAGGGGTCTTTTCAGAACTCCACCCCTCTACACAATCTATATTGAGTGTTTGAAGATTGGATTGATTTGATCAAAACAAATGTCTCTACTTCCTGAACTAAGGAATAAGTCTTTTAACTTCGAGATGATTTTACAAGCTAAGCTTAGTACGATGCAATTTTTTAAATCAATGACTGAGATGTGTTCAGGGTTCTCATCGGAACGTTTCTGTCAGTAACACCTTGATATCTTAACAATTAATGGCGATATGGCCATTATATCACGGACGATGAATCTGTTATATTCTTATTTTATTGCCTTAGGGTATAATATTTGTTTTTCAGTGTTATTTATAAATCTCTACGTTTTAGTTTACAAAGCCCTCTTCAGTATAGATCGCCGTTTATATGTATTGTTAGACAAAATTTCCGTAGAGAGTCCGGCGTATAAAGTGTTTGAAAAAAGAAAACAATTGACAATAACCCTTAAAGAAAGCTAAAATTAGACACGAGGTGAAGCTGAATATATACTCTAAACAATTTCGGATTAGCAAAATTTTCGCATAATATATATTTTATATTGATATGACACTTGTCTGTGTTCTTGTAAACAGACCGTAACTATGTTTAAAGCTGAGTGTGTGAAAATTGCGACATTGTATAGTGAATTAAAGGAACTTCAGCTTTATTCTGATTCGAACATGCTACGCATGATACATTTGGTGGCCTGTTGCCCATATTATCGTCCCAGTCGAGCCAAAATGAGTTGTTAATGAGCATTATTGCATGTTAATTCCCAAATATACTCTGGGAATCACAATTAARCTGCAACTCTCGTTAGAGTCATGCTAAACGCAACGACCAATGAAATTGAAAATATATTTTTTCTGAGATCGCCATGCATTGTGGTATAGATCCAGTACAAACACCACCATATTTGACAACATGAACAAATGATGTTTCGGCAGAAAATCGAGACAATGAAATWAGTAATCACTATTTCAGAAAAAGGTTATGATTCTCTTTTAGCTTAACGAACAGTTTCATAGTTCATGTAACAATATTACTGACTGTCCCAGTACTTTACAACTAGAAAAATTCCAAAGTAGTTGAGTAATTGCAATGGTTTTTCACATATGGCAATCAATTATGTTGTTTTTCAAATATTATCGTTAAGCATATTGTTATAAATCACTGTTTAAAAGAGGGTGTTTTTAGCTATAAATCATTCTCGACGATCTGAAAGTTAACTGGTGCCATGTTGGCTGGCATGATACATCACAGACATTTGATTAATTACACACTTAAAATTGATGATTGCTTTATAGAAAGCAAGATTATAGTATGGATCTTCTACTGCTATCCACTGCATGTCTCATTGCTTATTTTTATCAAATAGGAAAATGATTTGCTTTCAGCGTTTTTGTGATAAAAAGGCGGCCATTGAACGTCAAAAATATGTTTGTATATTTCACTTTTACAACAACAACATTTAGTTAAAGAGAAAAAATAAGTTCCAAACTTGTATTTTAATTTCGTCATTTTGGTCGATTTGAGTTGTATTTGTAGAATATTTTCTATATAGGCCAATTTAGCTCCCTTTTACCATAATGCTTGGGTTCAAGATGGCATGCAACTCACTCCATGCGCAAAGCACGCGAGACTTTTTTCACTCGGCACTCTCCCTCCATGACTCCAACACTGAACTATAAGTAATTGTATAGATCTTTCTAAGCTCTGTTTAGAGCATTAGCAATCCAATATTTTCATACTAGATTAGGAAAAAAAAGTTTATTACCAAATTAGATGGATGGAATTATAATTGCACCACGAGAACCATTCAACATTAAGTGGAAACTGTTCAAAATAGAGATTTGAAGGTTAACGACCGTATCATAATGACAGCTCAAATTGGCGAGGGTTATTGATGATACTCCCTCGTGGTTGTTTTACAATAAACGCAACTGACAAAGATTACCACAGAAAATGCACCAAGCCGCACGGAAAACAGCTTAAACAACACCTGCGTCGGTGAAAACGCAGCTCCAAAACATCTCATAAAATTTGCGTCTCTTGAGATTTTTTTCATGTTATTCTTAAACTGATATGTGATTTTTCAAAGTTGTCTTTTATAGTCTGATCAATACGTTAGCCTAACAATAATGTAATTGATATCAGGTAGAACTATGTACCCTGAAACTAGATCCAGTAGCTGCAGCGATGTCATTTATTAAGATACACCTGATCTAGTAAGCTAGACTTGACGTTTTCAAGCACTCTGATGCCGTTATATGGAATACTAGAAACATAAGACAACAAAATTGTCGTAAATAACCCTATAGCTGCAATCTCCTTACATCATATTAAACTTTAAGATATCAAATGATCCTTGCGAGATTCCATAGGAACACATCATGTCTCTTATGGAACAYCGCAAGCTTTTTACTTGATATTTCTCGGATTTTTTTCGCTTGATCAATAGTTCAGAGAATTTAATAAATAGCACGCGTCCATGGTGAAGCAAAAGGGCAAAACCTAGCCAGACGTGAAGCATTGTATTTTCGAGARGGATTTATAAGGATTGTCAAAAAAGMGCCTAAACCACTATTTAAGACTTTGACAGGTTCGCAAAGAGCATAAACACAATTCGTAAATCCTTTGCCGCTTGAACACCTCAATTTGTCATTACAACTGAAAGCACAACTCACAACTCAAAGTGGCCATTGACAAACCTACATGGCAAACACGGCGAAAACTCGGCATTTGATCTCACTTATCGGTATGTATACACAAACACACGTGCTGGAAGTGTTTTATAATCTCTATTTAGTCTAAGTTTAATCACAAATCGACTAGTTTATGAGACAAATGGCCGACGAGGTATTGCTAGGGGTCTAGACCCCGAGGCAAGTCATTGACTATGTACGTTGTATTCTTTATATTTATACTAAACATCGCTCAAACAAACCAAGCAAATCGAGCTMTATTTTCTCGTGATATCTTTTGTGTTTTAGTTGTTCGTTAAAATGGAAGCGAGAAGCCTGGGTCTTAGGCTCTTTTTCTAAACGTATTTCAAGCTTGAGTCCAAAATTGAAACAATTTCGATTGGTTTTTGATATACTTAGAAACGCTGCAAGCCGAGGTGGTAATATTTTAACCATTTTAGGATCTACAATAGATACTCGTGCAAAATCACCTGACCATGGTGTGTGTGTGTGTGTGAATTTACATTTACAAAATGGCAAAAAGAACTCGCTTTTTGGTTCTTGAATTAAAAAAACAATAAAAAGTGTGAACGACAGTTGTTTTTAGCGCGGTAGATAAACTTGACAGAGGTACAATAGCAAATGAGACTTTTTCTAGAAGAGATTGAAATCAACTGAGCATTCAGTACATATAATTCAAGGTATAGAATCTATATATTTCGCATCAAAACTTCTGAGAAAATTCAACCCTTTGTTGACAGATTCTACGAAGATAACACTGTAAAGAATGTGAAATTCACATATGGTTGCCTGCTTTTGATTAAATATATGTTTTATATTGTTATTAACGGACTTAATCGAAAACTTCAGGGTTTTGGGGGGTGAATTTTGTGACAGTTTCTCTTATCGTCTCTCTCGTTTATCATATATTTATCTTAATTTCCTGAGTTTTTATTCATTTTTACATACATTAATCTAACTTGATAGCTCATTATTTAGCTCTATTTCTGGCATACTTTAAAATTGATCTCATTGATTAAGGAAGAAGAAGAGAGCCACTGAAAATTGATTTTAAAGCGTTAGTGTTTAAAACGGAGGTAAAAATATTTTCGTGWAAAGGTAGAAGAAATGTCAGTCTACCAATCCTCTTTGTTGTATAGTGATCCCAAGAAAAGCCGTCTCTTATCAAAATGAATCACCAATCCATGCTTTGCTAATCAATAATGGATAATGAAAGGTCCTATATAATCTGTCATTGCCTGAAGGGTCTACGCTCACGCAAGCGAGCAAAGTTAACCGTAAACAGTCTTTTTTGACCACAATGCGAAACAGGGATCCCAAATAAAAGCCATATCCAACTCTCCTTGGTTTTAGATGGGGCGCTTCTAATTATTTCTAATCGTAAAAGCTCCTTGATTCAGTTTTCGTAAATTACTCTATGGTACGACTGTATCAGCGTTTTTGCCTGTTGGAAGGTAAAGGGGGCCGCCGTAGACTAAAAACATGAATTAATTAAAACTCAAGAAAAAAGAGCCATTGTCAGCGATGTTACTTGATAAATGATTTGAACTTGTATTGTAGTCAAACGCCAAAAGAAAGTATCAGCATAGTTATAGCYCCAGCCTACTTAACTATATTGTTATTCGCAATGGCTGCCAATAACCAACAGCGTTGACGAGTTGTGTAAGTCATCAATCTCTTGTACCACACCTCATTGTTGAGCATATCGATCTACCATGTTCATCTATACTTAGCTGTTAACGATGGTGGATTGTTGTCTTCTAATCTATAGCGTTTCTCTTTCAGCTATTCTGGTTGGACTATTCTTAAAGCTCTCTCAAGGTAGGTTGACAGCAACGAACTCTTGACAATGACTCCTCTAAGATATGCTATCTTACCAACGTATCTTTGCATATCAGCTGTCGATTTAAGTTTTCTATTTTGATGCGGCCTTTAGTGTTAGGCCGGACAAACGCATTAGCCTATGCTATCATTTTTTGTTTCTTTCCGTTTACCCTAAAGGTGATCTATTTTGATTTTTCATTGAGCTCAAATTGACTCTACTCACATCGGGTCAAACCAGCCCTCGGGGATGCGGAAAAACTGACGCACGTAAAAAACATAGCTTCAAATTTATTTTGAAACCGATGCAAATATGAGTTATTCTTTTCTGATGCTATACAACAACGATACACTAATTGACAAAGGATTCATCTAATACAATATCATGATCAATATCAGGTTTTTATTATTCTTTTTTGCTGTGTCTCCGTTGAAAAAATACAAAAATAAACTGGTCAATACTGTACATAAAGAAGTTTGTGTTCAATGATAAAATAAGTAAACAATAAGGCGGGAAAAAAGAGGGAAAAACAAAAAAATGCAAACACCGCATTATTAACGTAAGAGTTTTGACAATTGGAATATATATAGTTGTGTAATTTCCCATGGAACATTTCGGTCTTTCATTCTACGCCATTTTCAACCCGACAATGTTAATCAAAATGCAATAAAACTTCATTCAACTTGCAATTTATGCTGAGAAAGACTATCGCCGATTGATGTATCTATCCACCTCAAAATAGCAGAACTCAGTTATATTTCGTGAAAATGTTTTCTTGTGGTAACTACACTGAGCTACTCCGTTCTTAGTATTTTATTGGAATCTAACTTTTTTTCTTGCCGTTTAGCTCGACGATGTCCGACCTCCGGGATTCTAGCAGGTTATAGCGGTGTTTTATCAAGTCCCTACTATCCCGAGGAGTACCCCCACCGGGTAGACTGTGACTGGATCATTATTGTGCCACAGGGACACCACATCAAATTGACGTTCACTGATTTTGACATCGAATACTGCATGTTTTGTAAGTGTGATTACGTTGAGATTCGTGATGGAAAGAATTCATCTTCACCTTTCCTTGGAAAATTTTGTCGAAAAGGAAGACTCTCTGCACCGATGTACTCGACGGGTCGGTATCTCTGGATAAAGTTCTATTCTGATGTCGGTGGACGTTTTCAGGGATTTCGTGCTCTTTACAAAGCAATTAAAACCGGACCGAGTAAGTATGAAGACGATTTTAGCTCATTTATATGTCAATCCGCGAGCGTCGGGCCCGTATGGGCTCAAATGTCAGTTGAAAAGTCAACTGAAACAGGGAGCCCAAAATTAAATAAGTGCCATTTTTGAGGTTATTTGGGATCCCGAACGAGTTTTCAAGAATCTATGTGTACACTTATCAGTTGTCAGGCTCAATATTTAGGATGTCAGCTCTCAGTAACGAATAGTCTTAATATTAAATAGTCAATTGCATTTTGCGCCAAACTAGTCAGTTAACTACTGACCCTGTATGGTGACTTTAAGAATCCTGAGTTCCCCTTGACCTCTGACAATCCGTAATGCGGCTTCTTAACAGTACCAGTTCCTTATAAGATATCGATAACATATACTAACAACAGCATACTAAAAACAATAAGCTGACGTTACTGCAATGTCTGCGGTCAGATAGCGTCGTTTCCACACCGAACCGAAATGTTATTGCATATCCAATCTACAAGCCCTAAAATCCCAACATTTTTTGACGTTTTGTAGACTTGATACTGACCTTGAAATGAAGGGAAAATCAGCGTAGATAGCTTGACAATCAAAGCACATATTTCGCATTACAAATGAGAGAAACATTAATTTCTTCCGATCCGCCATCTTGCTTTGAACACCTACACACAGGAGGCCCAATCACTTTAAACAGGAAGCCCAACCAATAAAACCGCGCGTAATGCACTAGTCAATTGAAACCCCCGCCCCCCGACCGCCGGGGCTAGCGGGGCACTGAACGGGGACGTGACGCGTTTTGAACGAGTGCATAAGAAAGATGCGCGCGAAGCGTGATCCCATAATGTCTTCTTCACTGTCCGTGATCATGTGTACTATATAAATAAACCATCGATATAAAGATTTGAAAACCAAAGGACATTATAATATAAAATTTCGTGATACAACAGACTGCAGACAAGATACTTATAAGCTTATGGTTGGCAGGACTAAGSGCAGCCGTAAAACCACAACAGCTGCCTGCTGATGTCCTTGAACCATGTAACGGAATAAAGCTAATTGAAAAAAAGGTTGTGGGAGAGACTATAATTGAACGAAATTATTCAGTTGTCGATTTTTACTGATAAAAAACATACAAGATGTATTTAAATTGAAACGACAGTATTGTGACTACCTTTGATTGGTTYTTTCAAAAATCAGTACCCATAATAACTTGCGTTCGTGCATTTGTCGTTTAGTGAATTATGAAGCACTTATAGTATGTTTTCAAATACTATTATTAATGCACATTTTTCCCTGCTTTAGTTTACAACGGCATCATCCACAAACGCGGTATCAGTGGAGTTGTTACCAGTCCTAAAACCATCGCAGCATGTGGTCCGGACAGGGAGTGTACTTGGCTGATATCAGTGAGGAAATCAAATCAAATCAAAATCCAGTTTTCTAGGATCGTGTTACCAAAATGTTCAACTCCTTGTGGTTGCAGCAACATTGAAATAAGAGATGGTATCAATTCTACAGGAAGACTCATTGCTAAATTCTGTGACTCAATACACAAACCCGAAAACATATGCTCAACAACTAACCATTTATGGATTAAATATCAGTATGGATTGGACCTTGCGCAGTATGGMTTTCGTGCTTCGTATCAAAAATGGCAATGTAGAGACAAAAAGGAGGATCAAACAACTATAGAAACTACCACAGGTTAGAGCTTTTTTAAGTTCTTTAATATTTCTCTTGATCATGCTTTTAGTTTTTATTTCTTTTTTTCTTCTTTTCTTCTCTATTAATCTTCTATTCCGCTTTCGCTTATTTCTATCATTTGTTATGTGTATTTTTTCTTTTTAAAATTCATAAATTCCCATAGTACAATTTGTTTTTGCTTTCTCCCTTTCCCTTTTACTTCGTTTTCCGTTCGTTCATGTTTTAGAGATAAGATTACTTTTCGCTGATTATGTGGCATGTACAAATACACCTTTTCAGTTGCACTTAGGCCTCGATAGAGTTAATTATTCTTTTGAATTTGACAAATGAGACTTTTAACATCAATGTTTGCATTGCTCACATTCCTACAAATTCAAAAGAATATTTAACACGCTGTCGAGGCCTAAGAGCAACTGAAAAGGTGTATTGCCATTGCTTAGCTGGAATCTCAATGTCAATCGTGTTTTTAGCAACTATTGAGCTAACATTGTAATGTATATGTTTAGGTACACTGGATACAGTCGTTGGTCTGATATGTGCAAGCTTTGTGTTCATGGCATTCATGACGCTATGCATGGTTTGCATTGCAAGCAGAAAACTAGCATGCAACAAAAAAACTCGCAACTCGATGCCACATCATCTGGTTACAAGAGAACACGCCGCAATACTTGCACCACCGCCACAGTTCATCCATAATACATGTCATTGTCACAAACATGCTCATCTACACTACACCAAGGGATCAGAAACAGATTATAGCGATGAAACAGAGCAATACGTCTGCGACTCGGGGACCGAATTCCCGGTGCATTTTTGCCGGAATTGCAAGATAGGATCGGCAAAACACACGAAAACAATCATAGAACATTTGTGAATTATGTCACATTTCTATATTTGGTAAAAGATCCACAATTCTTCCATGTTTGGGCATACCGCAATCGTCGTGTCCAGTTCCTTGAATCGCGCTAGGAGTATGGAATAGGAATATGTTCATATAWAACTTTATACAAAAATTCGAATTTATCGAAAACTTTTCTAGCTTACAGCGTCATCAAATGACAATTAAATTAATGATAATCATTGAATGTACAGAAACACAATTATWACTTTTTTAAGAAGAGATTTATATAGGTGGGATTTAAAAAAAACTTGCCTGATGTATATATTTCCAAATGTGAAAAAATGGTCTAAAAGACAAGAATAAAAAAAGAGACCATTAATGTATCAAGTCTTGTTGCCCACCTACTGCAGAAAGTTCTTGAAAGAGGGCGAGCTTATGCACAGCACCTACCCGAGTATAGGTCTAGTCAATGTTGATATTTTGGCTCGTAACAGCAACAGGTGATTAGCCAAGTGCTAGAGTTTCTACACTACTGTTATAGAACAAAGATTRTGATTTGATGAAATAACAAAGAGACACATGAATTGCAGAAAAAAAATATCCAGGAAAACAATAAGCATTGTCTGGCATAATCCTATAATTCTTTGTTTTTGTTCTCTCGACCAATCGCAAGCTTCGTTCTGACGGTAGTGGTCGACCAAAGGAATAAGAAGTCAAAAGCACAGATGGATAGCATGTACTGCGTTACTTTGTCATTTATTTTCTCCGCCTGGTTCTGCAACTGGTTCGTTGGATGTCAACATTACAGCCTCGAGGTTTATAAAAGGGTTCAAGGTTGACACGATGGTGTAGTTGTGAGATTCGTTCAGTCATTGCCGAGGATTCGAGCTTTACGCCCCCTCCCATTGTTGACCCCTCGAGATACAGGGGTGGTTCCCTTGAAATCATTCAACGCTTTGACGTGGTTGATTAGTATTAGTAAAGAGCAATCCACAGTGTTTGTGTGTAAGAAAGACTTTATTTTAGAATAAACACACTCTCTAGAAATATCGTCTCAGCCAAAACAAGCGAGTTTCAAGTTTGACTGGCATAAAARTTAATTTCGACACGGCCTTCATATAATAATTCGAATTCACAATAATATTTTCATATCAATATCTATCTATAAATACACAAATGATGTACTTTATGAAGTATAGTTATAAATACAGGCTCTATGAAGAACCTTTGAAACTCTATATTATCAATACCATGTCGACATACAGCTATTTCAAAACAAATTACCGGCCAAAAGAAGACAGGTGAAGAAAAACTTTATATGTTACATTGCTTCAGCAATGCCATTCAAAGTCATGATYATTACCCAGTAGTTCCTTGCAAACCTTGACCGAACGGAGGACTTATTAGTGTTTAGTGTCCTCGCGGTGTGCTATAACACAGGARGTCRTTATCACTACTTTAACCTATAGTTTTAACGAACGATCTCTTAAGCAATGCAACTATAAAACCCTTCCACAAAATTAGTATCCAGTATTTCTGTGTTGTATTAACAATTCTTAACACGGCATCGACCACAGGAGTCCGAAATTCTACTTGATCTTGTAACCTACAATCTAGAATGATTCCACATCTTCAAAGCCTTCAGCTGGATCACCCGTCAGGTCAATACGGGCGTAGTCATCCGAGTCAATAGACTTGCAGAAATGAACAGCGTACTTGAGCTTCTCACAGAGGATCCGCTGACTCGAGTAACGAGGCATTTTGAGCAGAAAGAAGCATGTGTAGGATTCTGGGAGATAATGGTCCGGTGGGTTGTACTTGTCAAGAACCTGAAAGGAAACAAATCAGTTTTTACTTGAGTTAGGGTATAAATTTCAACTATTTAAGTACCATTAAAATGATTGATCATAGTAAGAAAACACTTGCCGTTACTTTAACAAACTAGTGTTTGTTAAGCATTAAATAAAAAAAAACTGAACAGCGATACAAAAATAGACATTTTAATGCTAAGCAAACCCCACTGATTTCTATAAAAAAATGAAATAGAAAAAAACAGAACTAGAAAAAATACAACTAAAAYTTAGAAGGAAATGCAAACAACAAACTGGCTTGGAAAAGGAAAGAAGACAAGATAGCGACGGCTGCAAATACCATCTTGTTAGTTGTGYTCCTACCTGGAAAACGAAGTCTCGTCCCCTAAAGTCTGCTATCGTTCTTGGCAACCTTGTTCTTCCCCACACAAATCTCAAGAATAACGATCTCTCTGCGTTAGAGAATGCTTCTAGAGTATCCCAGAACCAGTGCACTAATGGTGCATTGGCATCGATTCCTTTGTACGTCGCTACTGACTTCAGAAGATCCAAGGGAATGTCGGGACTTCCGCACACCATAGTCTCCAGCTCATGCCCGGTGAAAAGGGAAAGAAGGGGAACTGGGACTACTCGTGCCATGCCTTCRCGGACAGCTGCAACCTGACGAGAAAAATACACAAGAAGTTCATAGACCTTTTCTGAAATATAAAATCATGGTGCATTGTGATCTAGCTTCGCCACAAACAATACCATATTTGGTCGCATGAACAAAAGATGTTTGTACCGAATCTAGACCATGATGCAATGCGTAATGCTATTTCAGAAGGCACAAGACAGGAATTTTATTTGCTATTTGTGATTTACCTGTTCATCAAATTCATGAAGTCTATAATTCAAAGCAAGGCGAATATACTCCTCCCTGTTGTCCAATGAAATAGTCTTGATTTTTTGATGCAAACGAATTTCACTGCCACTTGCACTAGGCGTACTAAACGGCATTTCCATTGCTTCGAAAGTCTCAGCGTCCATATCCCGTATACACATAAGACCCGGTACGTAGTCTTTATCAATCTCGGCTAGRTCAGTAACAGTAAGGGAAATACCGGCRATCTGTTTCCAGGTAGGTTCGGCTAAGTTCAGACTAAGCGGGCTTCCTGTGCGAATAGCGATACCTATAAGAGCGCCCAGGAATTTCAACATATTGATGTGCGTTGGTGATCTTGCTTCAGGGTTCAGAATAAAGCAGTCMCGGTTAGCACCTGAYTCGTCACGTCCGTTTGGTGTAACAATAAGTAACGGCAGAGAGCCGTTCTGTAACTCGTCGCACATCTCCGCGATGGACTCCGAGTAACCACCACCGCAGTCGTCAACACTTTCTCCGATGAACTTCACCTTCCATACTCGATGGGGYAAAAATAGGCTCTCAGGGCCGAAGTTGCTCATCTTCTCACAGGCCTGTCCAAAAACGGACTTACTTCCGTCAGGACCTGCTAGTCCGCCTTTGCTACGGTGTTTCTTGACCTGAAAACAAAACCATTAAGTTGAGGAAATACTGACAGACAGAAACACAGACAGAAAAACAGACAGACAGACATACCTGTATTCTGTTGAGCTCAATAACTGGTCCATGTTGTCGGTCACGTATCATAGTCGTCTGAACAACCTTACGGAAMGAAGCTTCCTACGTAAACATAACAACAAACGGAACGTTCAATCTATTCGTCCATTTGCCTTGTTACGTATACACACGTAGCGATATACGTAACGTAATAATTAGTCCTGCTGTGTAATGAATTTCAATTTCAATTAACCAATAGGCAACTTTTGTTCAGTGACCATGCACAAAGAATTGTAGTCGATGCTCCGGGGAAATGAAAAAAATAAATCAAGATTATTCATTGTTTCTCTCGGAGCCTTTCTACAATTCCTTTGTACATGGTTACACAACCAAAATATCTAAATATATATCTATATAAATATACATTGAAACACATCGTATAAGGTTTATCTTTTCCAAACACACAAAGGACTCTAAGATGAAAGACAAAAATCTTACTTTGTTGGCGGGTATGAGTACACCTCTAAGATTGTTAAGACCAATCAATGCACCGTTATCGATATCACCGTCGTGTGATGACTGGAGATCAAACATGGTTATAGACGAACAGAATAACTCTGAGAATTGATGCAACAAGATGAGTCTGTTTCGTAAAGCCATTAAATCAATATGCTGTAGATGGTTGTATTCCATTGGGATGTTTGAAGGGAGTTTGCCAGCGTTAGTAGGTTTAGATGTTGACCAWGCGATGGTATGGGCGGAACCGCAAGCAACGCGCGAAATCTTCTTCCCCTAAACAGCAAGAAAATAAGGATCTCTTTATTTTGATAATAGATAAGTACGAATGATGATGATGATATGGTWATCATTATTGAAGATTTTGCAATACTAATAAACATTCAGACTATAGTGACGTCCACTTATCATGACGTCATGACATTGCCGGTCGGACTGACAAAAGTACAAATTGAACTCGTTGTGTCGCTCTCAACCTAACCCAGGAACTCTAGACTAGTGTTCCAGCCCTATCTCCCCCAACCTCACTCATTAGACCCTGGGCAGCCGAGAGCATACTAACACTAAAGAATCATTTAGACACGAAGAGACTGATCACAAATGTTCACACCAGATATAACAACGATCAATAATACTATTTTAATTTTTGGCTTTGATAAAGGTTGTCACGTGCTCAAATACGCCCCAGCATTACCATGATGCACTTCAACACGACAAACATGACTTTATAAGGTAAATCAATGTCACCTGTAAAGCAGTAACAAGTCTTGGTCTTGGAATAGCATTAGTCGTGCCATCACCTAACTGTCCTTCATCATTATCACCCCATGTGTACACTTCACCAGTGTCTGTACAAGCCACGCAGTGTAATGAGCCTGTTGCTATAGCAATAACCTTCTTGCCTTGTAAGGCTGCTACTCGCTTAGGCCGTCTCACGTGATCATCTGTACCGTGACCTAGACGGTAGTAATCGCCTTTACCCCTGTACAAAATACCACAAAAAATACATTAACACCAAACATATTAGAAATATTCATAATAATTTACATCTTATTCTAATGTAATAAGAATTCAATTACACAAATAAATAACAAAATCCTATTCTTTCTTCCGTGAATTTTCATGCTTTCTTCTCTTTCATCGTATTTCTATGTTTCGTTTCCCTTTTCTCCACGATTTCTATTCCACTTTATTCTTTTTACTAAATTTCTCCCTTTTTCATGTATTCCTCTTTTTCTTTTGTTTTCTTAACTTCCCTCTCATTTTATTTTACTTTACACTGGCATCTTTTTATTCCATTTAATATTTTTATCTATATAACTACCATGTATACACAGCTCCTGACTTGGTAAGTGCGACAGAAAACTGCGATCCACACTCTACTTTACACACGTCTAGTCCGATGAGGGATTCTACTCGCATGGGTACTTTACAACCATCACTACCACCACGACCTAGTTTACCATAGTCACCGTCACCTAACGAGAAATACAATCATCCAATTTAACGGCACCGAAAACACATCTAATATACTTATTAAGTTAGACTATTATTTTAATTCACGTAAAAGATGGAATAAGTAACACTTTACTCCGACGAAGGATTAACGTTTGAAACGTCAGTAAGTTGTTTCGCCTACTTTTTTACGGTGTTAAATTCATCTTCACAACTGTTTCTTAAGAAACACCGACGCAGCTCACACTAGTTACCCGCTGGTTTCCGCCATAATTAACCCTAACACTTAGTGATGCTTTTCTCAAATTAGTTTTTGCAATGAAATGTATCCCGGAATTGCTAAAAAAAGGCGTTAAACAGTTCAACAAGGCCAGGTAACTTACCCCAAGACAGAACAACGTCATCATCTGTTAAACACAATGTCTGTGCGTCACCACTACCACATGCCACGTCAATAACTCTGTAACCACGTAATGCTTCAACTACCTTGGGTAACAATTGGTCCTCGCTGTCCCCGTGACCTAGTCGGCCATATCGACCCTTACCCCACGTGTATAGCTCGTAGTTGGATGTAATACAAGCACTGTGTGAGCCACCACATGAAATATCGATGACACCTTTACCTCGCAAGTACTCGATTACTCGTGGACGGTCAGTTGAACTGATAAACAATACAACATCACCGCTTACTCATTAACACAATATAGATTACATTTAAAGCCATCTGTGGATTTTGTGGATCAAGTCAAGTCAGCGTAAGTTTCAGATCAGTGTCAGCTAAAGAGGTGTGGCATCCACGTGCATGCTATTTGTACTATTACTTACTTTCTATTCCCATGACCGAGTTTCCCATCATCACCTTCGCCCCATGAAAAGACGTCACCGTCTTCAGACAACGCCATGGCATGCTTTCCTCCAGAATGCACTGCGACCTTCTTAATAACCACGTGTTGTAAGGACTCGATGATCTTCATTGACGTCACAGTATCAGTCCCGCCCAGTCCTAAACGACCACCATGACCATACCCAGTAGCATAGACCTAGTGAAGAGAAACACTCTCTGTGTGAGAATATACGTCATATACCACATGTGCTCTTGTTTAATACTTTACCTTTCCTTCAGTAGATACTGCAAAAAGGGTCTGTTCGCCTCCAGCAATCTGTACAGGACGAATAGCAGCCAGAGCCTCGCTGGTTTGGGGCAGTTTCACCTTCGCACCTTCAATACTACCAAGCTGACCTCTATGATTGTGACCCCACCCATAGATATTGCCACTACCACCCCATGTCATGGTCCAGTCAGATGGACGCCTGGGAAAACACACACAAACATTTATGATTTCATTACTATCCCGCAGCATAGCGAAGCTCGTCACATCTCCGCTACCATAACACAAAACATGAAGAAACATTCGGCTTGACATAGCGGCAGGCAATTTAAAGAAGAGTCTCGAGGACTTTCCAAAGCTCAGCTTAATTCGAAACCTAGCTCGCTCGGTGAGTAAAAAAACTCCAACTCAACACGTATTTTGCAACTGAAAAGTCCGTACGTTCAAGCTTTATCGCCAGTCTAAGTTACAAAGGGCCAATGAAATCAAGAATATTCAAAGGGTTCCTTACTGGCTTAGCCAAAGAAGCAGCTGCTCATCCTGCTCTCGTTTGATCAAACTATGATCTAAGTAGTCTTCGCTTCCTTCGCCTTCTGGAATAAGTTCTTTGATCTTTTCTCTTACATCTTGAACAAAGTCGTATGGTAGAGAGAGTCTGGTATCTAGCGATGACGCAATTCGTGACGCCATACAATATCTTCGGAACCAGCCCCACTCGTGCCGATCCACACAGCACGGCAATAAATCAATGCCGAGATCGCATGCTAAGGCAACAAGGACCTAACGATGGAATAAATCACGGTAAAAAGATGTGTTAATTGCAAAAGAACTCGGGTCAAAGACTGGTGGAAAACCCTTTGCCAGTTCTCCTCTTCCTTAAAGTGCTACTTGCATGAAAATTGACTTATTTCAAAACTTCAAGAAATAAGAATATATGACTCATTTATATCTATTAAAAACAATTGCGGGAAAATATTTGTTTTGGAATTATCCCACATCGGGAAAATTTTGATTGAAAATATGGAAGAACAAAATGATGGAGTAAATTTCGTCCAAGTAGCCCTTTAAGTATACCTGCCAACTGGCAAAGGACGTACTGTCAACAAACTGCTATCATTCCATCGACAATCGTTGTATTCGTGAAAAAGCCAGTTCGCATGAGTGCTCAGATCACTCCAGTCCTCTCCATCAAAAACGCGCAGCAATCAAACTGAGGACGCCATCGATCAAGATGAAGCCATCCAAATTAGACAAAGTAATTGATTTGTCAACTTAACCATCACATACCTTGTAAAAGTCACTGTGTAAAAGATGTTTACCACCACGAACAAGAGGCTCTTCATATTCGTGCTGCTTTCGTAACGCTTCGGGTAGTCCTCGGATGAGACTTCCGAGGGCCGAAGATGAAACAGCCTAAGAAGCAAAAAATGACATAAGAACTAAATATTGGCGTCCTTCTGAGGCCTATGTAAAGAAGGATAAACAGCTCTAACTATCGTCTCACTGTACTCTGAACAACCAAACAGCATGACTTTACTTCTAGTATCTTGCTATGAATTTTATCCAAAGATTACTACATAGTAATAGTTAAGAACTATTCCTTAAACCATGAATGCCTTGTACTTACACTTGTCATTGTCTGGCTGCCAAAATACTTCAATTTTACCGGTGTTTCATCGTACATCATATTGAAACCTAATAACGCAGGAACATCGATAGAAGGACCAAACTCTGACGTTAACAGCTTGCAGAGACGATGAAGAGCCCACGTTCTTTGGACAGCGGATAGTGTTCCAAGTTGTGCGCACGACGAAAGCGCAGCGGCAAGCCGAGGGATCTGGGACTGACTGCACAGCGTTTCTAGTTGAAAGTCTGTGGATGCAAATAACATAATTCATTTTGTGTTATTTATTTGCGAAAGAAAATTGAAGTAACTTCAAAAATCTGCTCCAGTGGGAAATTACAACATTATCACACAAAACAGTGTCTATCCAAAACCCCCATGTATGTAAAATAACTCACCTAGCAAACACCTCACAAGGTCTATTGATGGTCGAGTGAGTAAAGACCTATCAGACAATACATCACAAGGCGCTAATGCAGGGGTTATAGGATATACAGTAAACTTCCATCCCCAACCATTCACCGAACTATCGCTAGCAAACTTCCATCTTAACTCATCGCCACTTAGACGGAGTTCACTAGACCATTCCGGCCACTCTCTACCCGACCGGACGGACACAGTCCGACCAGTAGAGTCCATGATTGTTAACGGATCGTGACGCCGTTCTGTAGAGCACTGTTTGTCAAATTCAACTCGTAATCCTTCAGCGCCGGTTATTTTCACGACACCGGACGTGTTGGTGTTATCTGTGTAAGGGTGACAGCTTTCTTGTACGACGGGCTGGAACGCGGCACGTGAACTACTATTGTCCATTGCAACTTCTTCTAGTTCTGTGATGCAGAGTTCTAGAAGCATGTCGGCAATCTATATTGGAAAACAATGGTGTATGAGAAACAACACTAGCAATTAGCGTTAGTAAATGACGGCTTTTGTTGTATTAACATAGCCTGCTAACAGGCGTTCCTGCTGGGTGGCATTCCTTATCGGCCCTCCAGAAGGAACGCTGTTAGCAGACTAGTGTAAACAAGACGTTGGCAACGGAGACTAGAAATAATGATGACAAAATTACCTCAGATCGACCTTGAGCCARGGCCCTCAAAACTCTTGACAGTACCTCCTTACCACATTCCCCAGCACGACTGGCTACAGCAAGTTTTAACAACTCCACCAGAAGTCTAGCATCTTCACACTCCAGAATACCAGTAAACTCATCAAGCCCGTCAATCACTAACTTATCTTGTGGCTTGTCTTCAACAGACAAAGCAATGTCCTCTAAACCAATCAAAGACCCTTTATCAGAAACRGCCTCGTCACGAGGGCTCGCTTTTGATTCGGTGCTCAAGAACACCTTTGAGTCCATCAGAGCACCCACTACACTGTCCCTTGCGTACATAATTTGTAGTGCYGTTAAGATGTGGGATAAGGAYTGCTGACGCTCGTAGTTTGTATTCAACGACAACACAATTTTAGCCAAYGACGGTCTGTGACGCTTACTAGACGTCTCGTTACTAGGGACGTCTGTTGCTATGACAGCTGGTCGTTCTGGAGGGATTGTCAAGGACGACGCACCRAGAGGGTCACGTGCCACGGAGAATATGACTGGTTCGTGAGTTACTGGTACAGGCAGATCTGACTCGGCCCAGGCTATGCTATGCGAWGAGCCACAGGCAACCCGAGTTATCTTATGTCCATCGAGTCCCATTACAGGCTGAGGTTTTTTGTTCATTGTAGTTGTATTGTTGCCTTGTTGACCATGATCATTATCTCCCCAGGCATAAATCTRACAAAAAAGAGGCCAGTTTATGGTGAGACTGCGTGACTAGTCAAGATGTTGTTGTGTGACTTGACACAAGTGCGTGATGAAAACAATACGCWTTAGAGAAATAAATAAAAACACAAGAACAGAGATATCTGATACTAGAYCAGAGTACTACCAACCTGTCCCTGGTCCGAGACTGCTAAACAGTGTAGAGCACCAACAGCAACGTCCACGATCTTCTTGCCCCGCAGTGCTTCCACTACCTGAGGCTTACGAACATGAGTGTCGTTATTATGRCCAAGACGAAAATAGTCACCTTTACCCCTATCAACAAATTATAAACTAATGAAACGTGTAATCAAATWTAGTCGTTTACAAGGGAAAAAGTATTTAGAACTTTTGCATTCTGTTCTTCTTCGCTGCTCTATTCTTCCCGCACGGCCTAATAATGGATAGTCTCCTTCGCAGCCTACCCTTTTGTCGGGCTTCCTGTCCCTCTCAGGAAGCCCGACAAAAGGGTAGGCTGCGAAGGAGACTAAATAATGGACGTATCCATTGTACAGGTGGTGTACATACTGTTCAGAGACGAACGGGGAGGGTAGAAGTGAGTTAYATGAGAGAGAAGGAAATTGTGATATTAAAAAAAATCAATAAAGTGAGTTTGAGAAAGATTAAATGAACTAAAAAGTAATAAGATAGATAATTGGGGTCAATTTAAGCGGTCAATTTGGACAGAATTTCATKATGAACAACAATTACAATCTAARACATGCTAATGGAAGGACTCGACCAACAAGATTACTAACCATGTCCATACAAGGCCAGATGTGGTGAGAGCGAGTGAGAACTGGGCACCACAAGCAACTTTACARACACCTTGACCTTGTAGCTTRTCAACAGGGTGTGGTGTACTACAACCCTCACATCCTCCTCGACCCAGTTTACCAAAATCACCGTCTCCCCACGACCAAACTGTGCCGTCGTCTGATAACGCAATAGACTGGGCATCACGGCTGCCACAAGCTACATCAATGATACGATGGTTTGCKAGTGCGTGGACCTGGGTAAAAGTAATAATAAGAACCAATCAGCCATGTGGGATAGATCTAGAAAACKGCTAAGGGCATGCGCTAAGGCTGTAACCAATGCCTATATTTYATTKCMAACAGATATGGCACGTGACTGCGAATTTTAGAAAGCGTGGCGGAAATTTTCTAGGTTAATCGCCTACTTTGATTGTAAATGTACATTGTCATCATTCTAACATCCCTGCTTTCCAGTTTCTATTCTAATAGATATATAATTAACCTATTTTGACAGAGACTGAGTTTTACTTACTTGTTTGGGCTTTAGTTGTGTTTGATTATCTCCATGTCCAAGTCGKCCATACTCGCCAAGACCCCATGAATACAATGTACCATCAGATAGAATAGCAGCACTATGAGAACTACCACAGGACATGTCACGAACACACTTTGACTTGAAATAATCGATTAGTTTAGGACGATCGTAGCTCCTAAAACAACACAATATCAAAACCTTATAAAAAAAACTTCGATTCAGTGTCGAATCTTAGACGRACAGACACAGASGGATAGATAGATACTACTATACAMAATTACAAGCATGAAAAGAACAATYCTTACGTCTTGTTGCCATGTCCTAACTTGCCATCGTCGCCCTCACCCCAAGAGAACAGCTTGCCCTCGATAGTCAAMGCCATGGCATGACGGCCACCAGAATGGACACAAACCTTTTTTACTATGAATTGATTKAGGGCCTCWATTTGACGGGGYACRGATACGTTTCCAGTTAAAGGCCCTAGTCCCAGGCGCCCGTTAGTTGATTCACCGCAWGCAAAMACTTTCCCATCRTGAGATACCGCGAACATTGTTTTCGAACCACCGGCGACTTGTTGGACTTTGAGAGCACTCAGGAAGTCTGACGATACAGGCATCTTGATCTACAAAGCATCAGAATGTACTAACTATAGGGACGTGTGATGGAGTAGTTTGTTTGAATGTTCAGAAAAATTACAGTTACAGTGAATTATTACATAGAATAGAACGCGTGCCCTGATTGGTCCGCCAGTCCGTGTATTATCATTTTATCGGTATCATTCATTGGTTAAATTGCAGCAAACATGTGACTGAACTAAACATTTCTCAAATTTTGGTTGCAAGCCAATGATATTTTTCTAAGAAATATAAGCAGTTTAAACATATCCTGTTTGCAGGCATGGAAGACCATGCGTGCACCAAAGTAAAAACTTGTTTTTTCTGATCAATATTTTACACTAAAGTTTGATCAATTTCAACTTACCTTGGATCCTTTCAATCCCGCAAGCTGATCCTTGTCATTTAAGCCCCACACAAAAACCTTAACCTGACCTTCCTGTGAGGTTTGTGGTATAACTGACTTCTTCTTGACAGCTTTCTTGAGAGATAAAGTGTCTTCGTCCTCGACAACAGCCAGGAACGAGAAACTGGCAGCAACATCGTCTTCRTCAGCTTTGGGACGAGCGGAAATGGACAGACCATGGATTTTACAGTCGATGCCGCTACTCTTACACTGTCGAATGCCTATTTCAACCACACGGTATTCCTAACAAAGTCACAGATAGAAACAGGTTAAATCACATTAGCATCAAACATTGAAATATTCAAACTGTTGTAATTAAGAACAAGAAAATACTAGAATATAAGTCGAAAAATGGGAAATGCAGAGGAGGGGAATGGGAAATGCAAAAGAAGAGATGATAAAAGATTAAATGAGAATGAAGCGGGAGAATAGAAAAGAGAAGGTTAATAGAGAGTAACAGGAGTGAGACGAGTAATGGAAAACAGGCAAGAAGAGGAAGCGTAAAATGAAAAAAATATCTATCATTAGATCCCAAGCCCTCTTCATCATGACACACAGGAATCTCAATTAAACAAAAAAGAAAGAAAACAAAGATTCCAAACAATCACCTCTTGTACATCCTCAAGTAATGTCACCAATGAATCATTTGATCCAATATGAATAGTCTTGATCTCTTTTAACCGCGTTACACACTCGCCAGCGGATAATACAATGAGTGATGGCATGTAACTACTGTCTGATGGGTCAGTGGTCATCGTCAAACGGTGAATCAATAAATCAGGATACAGATCTAATCGAATCCAATGCTAAAAGAMACAACAATGGTTGAACGTTGATCAAAAATGCACGAAATACAAGGAGTAAACGTAATATATATTTTTTCTTCAAAAATGAGTTGTTATAAATCTACCAACCTTCCCTTGAGGTCCAGACGACTGCCAATAAGAATCAGTATTGTCAACCAATCGATAAGCCTGGCTCTCACGTGACGATACCGTCAAATCCTTCACAATACGACTCCATTCTTTAATAACAATATCGGCGCCCGTCCCAGGACTAAGGTTGTTACGTTTTCGACCACGTCCAGGTTTGCCAACGTTGACTGGGATTGAWCCAGGCTCTTCAAATCGATAGAATGGGTGTCGATGYGTACGTCTTATTCTGAAGCAGTTTTCACAGTAATCGAAGTCTGAACATGTCTTACACTTGAACCGGGAACCCTCTATTGGTGATACGTGACACCCATCACAACTGTAAAATTACAAAGTATATTAGATAAATATTTATATTACAGCTAGTTATAAAAACGTTGTCACAGTAAGTGGCGAAAAATGGTGATTCAGATAATAATGCGCGCAGGCTTTTTCCTTTAGACAAACAACGTCCATTAATGGTAGTTCTCCATAATCATCGCAGTATCATAGGTCTAATTTCCCGTACCTATCGACCGTAGTGAAGTCAGGGAAACTGACCATACAGGACTTATTCGGTTTTCCTCTTTTGTCATCATTTTATTTCATTTTTATTCATTATTCATTATTCATTTTTCATGTTTTTTATTTATTAATTTCTTCCACCTTTTTTATGCCATTCCTAGTTGTTTCTATCGCAGTAAGTTGTCTACTCACGTGACATTAGTGTGTTTTGCTGGTACGACCTCCATCTCTGTAATCAAGCCCGTCCAGTTTGCTTGCTGAGGAAAATCTACCTTGACATCTTTACCATTAGGACTCAAAGATACAACTGTACCAATACTATTGTGATTCACGGAACCCCACTTGTACTTGGGTGTATTGACAGAACTTTTAACACGGACACGATCACC